ATCTCCCACCCAAGCATGTCAGGGAATGTAGGTTTCCACTTTATTTCCTTGTTAAAACCGAGAGGATGCAGTAGGAGGAGATAAGAGTATCCAGTAGGACGGAACAGAGGCGGAAAGAAGGGAACAGTCACCATGGTCTGGGCCAGATCACAAAAGCTTTCATGACAAAGGTAAATCTGAGCCGGGCCTGGAGGAAATTGTGATGTTTGAACAGGCCAGAGGAATGGCAGGTTCCCCCTGGCTAACAGGGAGGCAGGGTGAGCTCAGCCTCTCTGGTCCCAGAGCCTGCACTGGGAAATGGGCAGGAGAACCCAACAAATATGAAGTGGCCAGTTGACACGTGGCCCTGAGTGCCCAGCTGGCCATTCGAAGACCTGATCTCATCACTTGTACAAGGCCACTGAAGTTTACAGTGGCAGAGGGAGGAAGAGGGAAAGAGGATGCCTGTTCTTTATAGCTCTCTGGGAAGAGCACAGCACAGTTCAGTTAGTTTTGAAGGCAATGAATGACAAGGACCAAATCCCAAGCTTTGCCATAAACACCATCTGTTATTGTACAAGGGCCATGTCCTTCTCCAAGCAGCAGCATGGAGGGCTACGATGGTATCTCTCATTCCAGGGTTGGCTATCTTTCAATAATCGTCCCACGCAGAGTGGATTAGGGAGAAGGCAAGGAGAGAAAAACGCCAAGTTGCTCCACAGCTGTCAGCTTCTATGAAGTTGATGGCATCCAGAGGTTGGCATCTACTCACCTAAAGGCAGGGGGCACAGGCTTGGCAGGAATTAGCTCCTCGAGGGCATCAGGCCTCCCAGGCTCTTGAAACCTGTCAGTTTCAATAGGAAACCCTGGCAGCTGCATTCTGCCAAACTTCTTTTCCTTTTTAATTAGCACGGGGACATGACAATGCTTCTCAGAAGAGTTTGCCTGGCTTGGGGCCTCCTCTGCCGCCTCCTCCACTCGGTTAGAAAAGCCCTCTCCTTGGAAAGGCCCAAGGATCTCACCTGCCACAGCACAAACATCTCAAAAAGCATCCCCTTCAAAAAGTGCCAGGGTGGTAAGTCTCTCAAGTACACATCTTTTTATGCACTTGAGACCTTAAAAGCCTCCTTTTCATTGTGTCAATGGGAAAATTAAAGCTGAGGTTGCAAGTGAGATGAGGAAAGACCGACTGTGTAGGATACAGACTACACCTCTAACCAAGACATTCATGTTGACTTTCTCTGAGTAAATAAACCCAGGCCAAAGGACACACCAGGATTCAACCCACAGCTTCCAGCACACAGCCAGAGCCAGAGGAGTGATCTTACACCTCCTGTTTGTTTATAAATATAATAATATGTATTCCTAAAGAACAACTATGATTAAAGCATCTCCCCAGGCAGACAAAGTTTAACTTAGGGAGTTACAACCCACGATGAAAGTAATTGACAAAAGAAGGAGGCTGCCTGGAAAGTAAGCGTCGCCCTCTGATTTCCTCATGCATATTCATGACCTCTGTCCTCTGGTTCAGACATGCGCAGAGTGATGGGCTCAGGATCAAACCTGATCTTCTTCCCAAAAACCTCCTTCCAAAGCCTCCTCTTTTCCCACTTCTCTGTCCTTAGAAAGGTGAACTTCGTCTCTTCCTGCAGGTACAAATGCAAACACCACCATAGCCCAACCTAAATGTTGGCAGTGTGCTTTTCATTCTATGCCCTTGACTTCTTCTGTGACTATCTCCACGGCACGCCATTCCATGGGACATTTCTCCAGGGTTCCACACAAGCGATGCATCTCATTCCTACGGAAGACCAACTGCAGGCTATTTACAACGGTCTCCTACGCATGTCTGTCTTTAATTGAAGAACTGTAACCTAAGCCACGCACCAATTGGTACCATTTATATCCAGTGACAGATACAATGCGGCCAGAAGACAGAAAGCTCTTGCATTGCCAGGCCAGGGAGTAGTCCTGTTTAGTACACAGGCAAGATGATCACTACTGAGTATAAAACAGTAAAAAAGAAAAAAAACCAAGCCCACCTGGAAAGAAATGTCCTTTCCAATCTGGAGATGGGATAACAGAAAAATGACTGCACACACAAATGCTTCCTCTGCAACTGTGAAGTGTGTACCTTGTAAAAGGGTCAGACAGCTTTTTCTCTAATAAAAAGATAGTATATTTGTCATAAAGCCAAAAGCTCAATTAACTAAACATGCCTTTCACCTTTTAAAGCAGGTTTTTAAACTATATTTGTGCCTTGCAAATACTCTATTCTGCCATCCATCGCAGGAAAAATCAAACACAGAGGAGGGTGAAGATGAAAGGGATTAGCTGGGGTCACACCCAAATGCCCTGAACCAGAAATGGGGTTTCTGAATTCCCAGGACTTGGTTCACTCTAAGCATCAAACTACGGTTTATTTATAATATTCCATATTTAGTGCACTTTCTAAAAATAATGCCAACTGTGAAAATTCAGCCACTTCGATTTGGCAAAATTGGACTTTTTCTCTGCTGCGTTAAAAGAGATGCAGTTAATTTCCACCAATACAGAGCAAGGGCCGTTGATTCTCCACCTTCAGGGTCCCAGGCCAACAGTGCCAGGACAGGGGTAGCACACCACCAGCTAGCAAGACTGAGGAGGGACAAGACCATGTGTACCTGGGACTCACAAAAAAAGCAGCGGTGACGTCTGTCCTCAGTTTTCTATATGAAAAGGAAATCATCCAGTAAAAGACCCAAAACTGAAATTCACTCTAAAAGACTGTCCTTATCAATGGCCAACACTGCTTAGAAGGGAAAATTCTAGCTCTCTACCCCCAGCTTTCAATAGTGCCTTTTTCATTTCTACCAACAGCTTTAATTTAAAACATATCCTTACCTACATTTAGGGGGAGAAAACTGATTTATATTAAAACCAGTTATTTTCTAATCAAGATGAAATTTCAGAATTCAACACTTTTCAAATCTTATTCATACAACAGTAAAGAACATTCTGTCCTAACTGAGCATCTGCACTTATACATTTAAAAACAGCAATGTAAGCTTCATTGAAAAGCTCTGCTCTCCCACAACCATCTGAACTAAATCCAAAAAGAAAAAAAAAAGGATCTAGTCTTACTCCATTTCAAACTTAACTACTAAACACAAACCCTATTAGAATGACCCTGTATAACCTCTCCAAAGACCCCATTTCCTTATCAATAAAGTAAATATAACAGCCCCCACCTATAAAAATTAAATAAGCGAATGGTTTAAAGTGCTAGGCAAGACCAGGCATGGTGGCTTACACCTGTAATCCCAGCACTTTGGGAGGCTGAGGTGGGAGAATCACTTGAGGTCAGGAGTTCGAGACCAGCCTGACCAACATGGTGAAACCTGATCTCCACTAAAACCATAAAGCCAACCAGGCGTGGTGGCACATGCCTGTAGTCTCAGCTACTTGGGAGGCTGAGGTAGGAAAATCGCTTGAACCCAGGAGGCAGAGGTTGCAGCAAGCAGAGATCACGCCACTGCACTCCAGCCTGGGTGACAGAGGGAAACTCTGTCTCAAAGTAAATAAATAAATAAAGTGCTAGGCAAGTGTCTCACACACAGTAGTAAGCAATCAAGAGATAGTGGTTACAATCTTAAGACAACGTGTAAGAGTAGGATTCCAAATCCAGCTCTCTCTCCTGCTGGCTGGCGTTCTGGGCAAGTAACTCAAGCTCTCTAAAGTCTGTCTCCTCTGTAAAATGAGGATGACAAAACTCTCCTAAAATAGATGAAATATAAATATAAAGCAATAAGAAGAGTCACTGGTCAATAGCAGATATTTAACTAAGCTTTTTTTTTTTTTTTTTTTTTTTTTGAGACAGAGTTTTGCTATTGTTGCCCAGCCTGGAGTAAAATGGCACAATCTTGGCTCACCGAAACCTCCACTTCCCAGGTTCAAGAGATTCTCCTGCATCAGCCTCCCCAGTAGCTGGGATTACAGGCATGCACCACCATACCTGGCTAATTTTGTGTTCTTAGTAGAGACGGGGTTTCTCCATGTTGGTCAGGCTGGCCTCAAACTTCCGACCTCAGGTGGCCCACCCACCTCAGCCTCCCAAAGTGCTGGAATTACAGGCGTGTGCCATTTTTAAAAGTATTTGAAGGACTGGATTGGAATGCTACTAACACAAAGAAATGATACATGCTTGAGGTGATGGATATCGCAGTGACCCTGATTTGATCATTCCACACTGTATGCTTGTATCAAAATATCACATGCGCCCCATACATATGTACCATTAGTATGTATCCATAAAAGTTTTTTAAAAATCTATAAATATTTTTTTAAATAAAGAATATTTGGAGTAAACAGGTAACTCTACAGCAGATTAATTAACAATCCTTTCATTGCTAAATCTCTAGACCTACAATCCAAAAGTGCCATTCCTTATAAGCGCTCATTTAAGTTATATTTAAAATGAGACTTCGTAGGAACTTGCAGATAGAATTTCAAACTCTTGTATCATACCTTAAAGTGACTCCATCCATATATTAGTGTTGATTGAAATGGAGGGGAAAAAAACAGCTTGCCAAACTTGGCAGAAAGCAGGGAAGGCAAATCTTAATATCTGTAAGATATCTCTTTCTTGGCCAATAAAACTTCAAGGAAAAATTCACAAGATGAAAACCTGCCCCTTCCCCCCCATGGAGAAGGGTGTCCCACACCTCCAAACACTTCTTGTCTAATCACAGTTGCTAACGTTATTTGTCCTACTTTGCAGAAGTCACCAAATGCTTTAGCAAGCCCTGGAGCTATCAAATATGTCATTTTTTTCAGAAAACCAGAAAGGAATGAAACAGAAAAGCACAATGGATTCTTTCTTTAATCAAAGTCAACGATATCTATCTCATCACATGAATGGAGGCCTATACGTGTCATCTCATCAATAACATGAGGCACGCTGACCATCAGTGTATGGTTGATGTATCATTGCTTTGGCTTTTTAAAATTAACTACAGGCCAACCAGATGGGCAGCGTTAAGGTGGCATCTTTTCATCAGCACAGTGATGAACTGATCGTGCAAAACCAATCCCGAAGGACTTTACTTGGAAACCTTACACGAATCATGTGACACATTCTTTCCTATACTGAAAGTTCTAAGCAGGCAACTTCCCTTCCTTACAATACAGTCTTGTAAACACCTTGTTTACACTTGACTTAAACACAGCCAATGCTTGTTTTTTCTTAGGAACAAGAGGAATATTTTTCTTAGGAATTGTCCCAGAAATTTTTAGTCTAACAAAGAGAGGAAGTACTGCCCAGCGGCCAAACGTAAAGCCTAGGAACGGAAAACCTTGAAATTCAGAGTGGACGCTTTCACTCACTCGCTGGCTACCAGAAAGCTGCAGTCATCATCTACATCATAAACATGGACCCATGAGGTCCTAGCACCCCTCATCTGGAATCATGGGGGTACACTGTGCTATCTGGAAGAGCCTCTTTGAGTCCTGGAAATTATTAGAACAAGATGACGTCAGGTGTTTCTTCATGGCTTGTGTTCAAAGGCAAGCCGCTCTAACCCAGCCCATACCTTTATGGAGTTATGTGGGAAGGCCACATATGTATAAGCCTCCATACTCCCTATCCCTCGCCTTTTCCAGAGCACAGGTAAAACATGACCCCCTGCAGAGCTTACCTCACTTTACAACAGCACTTTCCTCTGCAACAGGGAACCTCAGCTTGCCTGCTGCTTCACAAGCATGATTGCATATGGATGCCACCTAAGGCCAGTCATGTTTTCACCATCCTTTGGGGGGACATGAGTCTGAAAGATGAAGCTCTTGGGACTATCTGCATAGATGTACCGAACTGCAGATGTATTCCTCCCAGATGGATGCACAGAGATCTTTCAGTGAAATTCCAGGCCAGCACCTTTATTTTGTAGATAAGGAGGTTGAGACTGAGAAAGATGACACTTGTCTCAGATCCCACAGCTGAACAGAGCCATCCCCACCCCCTCGCCATCAGGAATCTTCCTTACCAGCTAGTGTTGACAGATCCTGGATCACCAAACTGAATACACACATTGACTTCCTGGTTTGTTGTGACAGTATAATTTCCCTACATTTTTTTTTATTTGTAGAATGGGGGCAATAAGTTGCTGCTGAGGCAACATAGATGTAAGAATGGTTAGAAAAACCGCAAAATGCATCCTGAATTACAGATCCCAATGTCATTTTGGTACAAAAACCTTTATGAGTTCTTACTTTAGAGCAGGGTAAAAATTCCTTCTGACCACTGCACTGTTCCATGACCCTCAAAAATTCAGAGTAAGAAAACAGAAAGAGAGAAATGTCCAAACCTAGTATACTAGAACTGTAGAAATGTAGGTCATTCAAGTCCCACAGTGAACTATTTGTGTTCAAGTTATTTTAAAAGAAGAAGAAGGAGAAGGAGGAGGAGGAGGAGGAGGAGGGAGGGAGGGAGGGAGGAAGGAAGGAAGAAAGAAGAAGGAAGAAGAAGGAAGAAGAAGAAGAAGAAGAAGAAGACGACCACCATGAAAACTGATAATCTGACAAAAAACGTTTAGGCCTAAGTATGGAGCCTGGAGAGGGTGAATTTCCTTTATGGACTTCTTAGATCCCAAAAGCATCCTATATTAATTACATGGAACCTCATTTTCTTACTGCTCAAAGCAAGCTTCCCTCACTCAGTATTTCTTCTCAAATTTGGAAGTCTTTTTGTGGGCAGTGGTGGAAAAAAGTGCCACCTTAGCTAGAGTGGGCAACGATGGAAAAATGGATAAATGTCTAGCATTCCCAGGAAAGCTTCATGATGAAAACAAACCAGGGAAGAGTCAGGAAACTTTTCCGGGTTTTTAAGTCAAGAATCATGAAGCCAGTTATTTATAACAAGCAACTTTAAAAAAAAATTAGTCTATAATGTCTGCAAGAACACAGGAAGAGGACAAATTCTCTGCTATGTATTACTCCCATGATTACTGAAACGCATCTGCCAGCAGAACGGGCTGCCTGAGGTTCAGGATGGACATATCCCAATGGGAAATGGGAAACAGTTCCCACCTCAGGAGGCCTCTGCCTGCTCTTACATAGAAACACACAACAAAACAGAATGGGTGACCACTCTCTTCTTCAGGATGCGGGCTGAGAGAACCCCTGCCACTGGGAATGTTCTACACTGGCCCAGGAATGGGACCTACAATCAGTAAACTCTTTGGTGAGGACCTAGAGGGTCGGCAGGACGGGAGGTGGGGCGGGCGGGTGGTGCGTGGGTATCTCCCACTCTCTTGCAGGCAAGCAGCTTGGTCCCAGCAAGAGCAAAGATAAGATCTGAGACAATATTTATTTATGGAAGGGAGAAAGCAGAGTGTGTGCAAATTTAATGCTTAGTGGGGAAAAGTAGCTGACCTCCTATCTCCAGGGAGGACCTAGCAAACAATTCCTTCTGAGCAACAAGGCCTATCCCCTCCCCCAACCCCCTTACTGCTCAACTCCCTCCCCACCCCCAAAAGCCTCCCCAGAAAACAAGGCCATATTTAAGCCTGTTTTCGCCTTTTCTCCGACCTGGTGGAACCTGGGTCCACTCCCTTGGTGTAGACACGCCAGTGGGTCTCCCAGTTCCCTTCCCTACAGTGCAAGGGTGGAGGGGGCACAGAGAGTGGAGGGTGGCGGCAACCCAGCCAGATTCAAGAGGGGTCGGCCTGGTGAAAGCGGTTTCCCACCAATGGGCTCGGATCAGCCTCGGCTGCACCGCGGGAGCCCTCAGGACCCAGCTGGGGGCGGCGCGCAGAGCCCCGGAACCCCAAACTCGGCTCCGGGCAGCGAGGTCCAGGGAGGCAAAGTGGGGAACGCTGGGATGGGCAAGAAGTCGGGCGCCCGATATATCGTCAGGGTCATGAGCGTCGCCTTGCCTTCTCGGAATCCCACCCAACTCTAAAAGCCCAAAGATCCTGAAAATTCCGAAAGTGAAACTATGATCTGGTCTCTAGAAGTTTGGGAACGGTCTCCCAGGCTTTCCGGCGTCGTCCAGGATTCTCGGACACCGCAAACGCCATCAAGCACAAGCACCGGGGTCCACGGCAATCGCCCCGCAGGGTCCCCATCCGCGTCCCCGGAGCTCCCTCGGGCTTTTCGCGCATCCAAGTCCCCCACCCCCGATGCGTCCCGAGCCCCTGGGTGCCAGGGCAGGGGTCAGCCGGGCTCCTGCCCCGTCTCAGCTCCTCCCTCCTCCCCACCAGAAGGAAAAACTTGGGCCCTGCGAGAATCCTGTGGAATCTTTTTTGTAATCAACTGTACATCCGCTTCCACTGCACGGCCGGGTGCAAAATCGCGGGTTTCGGGGCGTTGGAGTAAATTGTGCGCTTGTCAGCGGCGACGTCAGGAGGACGAGGGGAGGGGTTCGCGGCTGAAACTGCAGCTTCCCAGCACAGAGCCATTTTAAGCTGCTCCCCACCTCCTGTGGCCCACGGGAAAACTGGCACCGGGAGGGCGCGCCCAAGCGCAGGCTGGAAGAGCCAGGGACGCGTCCTGGCCAGCACAACACCGTCGTTCAGCCCAGCCGCCAGGTGGGAGGGGTAACCAGCCGAGGGTCTCCAAACCAGTGCCGCTGACCCCCGGCCTCCACCCACCAACAGCGTGGAGTCCGAGTGACCCCGTCCAGCCTCGCTCTGCGCTCGTGCAAACCACCTTGCTGCGCTAACTACAGATCTGGTCACCGCGTCTTTGTACCCCTGTCATTTAAAAATGCCTCCAGGCACTTGCCACTGCGCGGTCAGGTTCCCGGGGCCCCCGAGAAGGTCCCCCGCTTGCCAGCCCCAGGGACCGTGCGTGGTTCCCGTGTGGCCCCCGCCCCCGAGGTCCCTGGGGCAGGCACCACCGCGGGACCTCTGTTCAGCGGCCGCGTCCTGGCCACGGGCGACCCCTGTCGGGAACCCCTGTTCCCAGCTCAGCTAAGCTGCGTTCCCGCGATCCCGTGGCTCTCACCGCAGCTCGCGTTTGCTGGCTTTCCCTCCCGCTCATCTGCCTGACCCTGATTTTGTCTCGAACTCCACTCCCAAATCCTCCCCTCCCTGCAACGCTGACCTTCCCCCCCAACCCCCCCTCCCCGCACTTCACTTCGCCGCCCACTCACATCCCCAGGCGACCACCCGGCCTCCGTGCCCGACATGGTGAGAAGACGTCCCTCTCCGCTGCGCGGAGAGGGTTCCTAAGCACAGCAAGGGACGATTTCTTCCCAAAACGCTGTCCCCATCCCCCACATTCCCTAGAGTGCGAAACCCAAAAGTGAGGAGAGCAACCCTCGCCTCCGCTCTGTGCTGGTCTGCGGAGTTCTGCCGCTCCGCCCTTCTGCCCCACCCCCACCATCACCACCGCCACCACCACTTAGGTCTTCTGCAAGTCTCGGTCCTGGTCCCCCATCTCCCACCCCAGCGCCGCGTGGAGGAAGCAGGAGCACATCAGGAAGTGCAGCGCGCCCCCTGCACACACGAAATCCCGCTGGCTTCTGCAGCCCGATTGCACCCAGTACCCGGGACAGTTAGTCCTTTTAATAAGCACCTTCTCGCCCCACCTACTCGGGGATCGCCACGCGCAAGATCCAGCACACACGAGGCGAGAGCTAGCTCGTCTGCGAGAAAGCCAAAATAAATCACCCCCTCTGCCCTCATGTATTTCGCACCACGTGTCCGCAGTTTGTCACGTCAAATCATGGCAGGGTCTGGTTCCAAGACACACACACACATTCGGGGCGGTTGTCTTTGACACACACACACACACCCTCAAAAACACTGCGCACACACAGGCCTGCGCACGAATCCACAGGCACGAACGGCAGTTCTGTTTCGGTGCCCTTGTCCGGCACCTCTCCATCCCTTTCCTCCCTAGCAATGTACTTGACACATAGACTCCAACCACGGAAAAAAAAACCGGGCAGCCCATTCTTTCTCTGTTTTCTCACTTAATTCGCTAAAGCGCTTCCTGGGGTAGCCAAAGAGAGTCGAAACTAAGGGGTGGAAACTTCAGCTGCGTTTTTTCCCACCTCAAAACCTTTATTTTCAGTTTTTAAAAGCCACCTTAGCCCGCCATATTGAAACTGGCACGGT